TTCTGTGTCCTTTGCACAGGAGACAGTGAGGTGCAGGGAGAAGTCAAAAATTCACCTGCTGTTGAATGAATTTGGCCCTGACTTTGGACTTGACCCCAATCTATGTAGTGCCAAAGTGCTGGTTTGTCCTTTGGGCTGGGTGAACTTGTCAGACGTGGGTTCCCACCTGAGTGTCCTTAGAGGAAAAAGCCATGGCTGTTTGGAGCCCCTGAGCTCAGGAAACATGAGCAGATATCAAATGTGTCATAAGTCAACAATGACTTTGGCACTGCAACCAGGGTTTGGGACCTCAATCAGCTGCTCAGGTGGTTTGATTTGGGTAAAAGTGACTTAGAGGTTAAATCCAGGAAAAAAATGTTCTGACTTTTCTAGGCTGTCCTAAAAAGAGCTTTTGTCCATCATTCTTTTTGGAGGTTTGTGATGTTGCCAGTGAAATCCAAGGTAACCTGTCTTTGCTGTATGTACATTGTGACATTGTCTCTCTTAAGAACAGCTCCTGGTTTTCACATTGTTATTTACAGAAAACAGCTCACAGGGCAATAGCAGGAGCCCTGAGTGATCATCCTTCGTGGGATGAAAGATAAAATCATGTTGTTTCCTCTGCCCATTCACTGAGTGAGAGTTGAACCCTTTCTGTGAAATAGGGAGGCTTTGACAAGAGGAGAGGAGAAGAGCAGGTAGCCAGGGAATTAGAGCATTGTTCTGGGACGTGGGAAATGCTTATTTGAACCTGTCTGATTGGGAGGTGGAGCTTCTGCAGGAGTGCAGGACCTGCTGAGCAATCCAGTGAAGCAGCAGTGGCATTTATGTGGCATGGCTTGGCCTGAGAGGAGGCCCTGGGGTGGGCTCTGGGAGGAACACGCCCCTCCTGGGAGTGCTTGGCACTCACCTGCAGCTCCTGCAAGGGACTGAGGGACAGGAAAGCCTGTTTTGTGGGGTCCCAGCAGATCAAGTGGTGACATGCCCAGACACTGAGCTGCACAGGGAGCACTGCTGCTGGAACAAGGATGCAGAAAGAGTTGGGAATTAGACACATCCCCTGTTCAGTGAAGGTGGCCACAGGGCAAGTTGTGCAGAGTGGCTGAGCTGCTCCAGCAGTTCACTCTGACCAAAAGAGTTCATCCTTTGCTGAGAGTCAGGATGGACAGAAGGGACAGCTCTTCCTTCAGCCTGTCTCCTACTGGCACTTGTTGCACAAGAAAAATCTCAGCTCAATGTTTTAAGAGGAACCCTTTCCTAAAGTTGCCAGCTTCTAGTGAAAAAACATGAAACTGGTGGGGTTTGTTTGCATAGAAGGTTTGGAAAGTGTCACCTACAGCCTGTCAGAGAGTGACAACCTCTTGGAATCTTTTTTATTGGCACTTCCTTTCTGCAGCATTCGAAGAGAGCAAGAGCTGATCCTCTGTGACTTTCATGTTTACTTTGGAAAGGATGTTTCTCCAAGAGAACTGGGATTGTCTCTGGAGAGACCAAGCTGTCATGGACAGACTTGTGCATTCTGAGTGTAGGAGGAGAAAGGCCAATTTTATGAAGCTGTGTCTCCCCACATGTGCTGCTCCCAGCCTGAGGGGAGGCTGACAGGGAGCAGGGTGCTGGGGGACAGGGAGTGGTGCTCTTGGCTGGTGCCAGCAGCAGAAAGACAGAACCTGGTCTTCAGGGACCACCTCCCTTGTGGTAGAAAATCCTAATGGATTTGTTTTAATTTAGGCCTGGAAGTCAATAGGTTGGCTTTCTCTTTCCTCTTCTGTTTTTGGGATCATAAATTTACTATTTTTTGACCATGAAAGGAGGAACTGGTTGAATGAGAAACTCCTTCATAATGTGCAAGAGTGGCAGAAGGCCCTGGGCAGGCTGGGAGCAGGGGCAGGGTTGGAGGAACACGGGCAGGGTGGGACTCTGGGAGGGTGTCCATGTGCACGGGGGGGTTCTCCCCATCAGCAGCTAACGCTGGGGCTCCAGGGCTGGGCTGTGTCTGTGGGCTTGTGGGGGAGGCTCAAAGAGATTCTTGGCATAAAATCTTGGGTCTTGGATCCTCTTTGCTTAATGGATTGCTCTGTCTCCCCAGTGACACCACTGCAGCTGCAAGCCACAGAGGCACTTTGGCTGAAGTCCTCGTGGTTTAAAGGAGAGACAGTGGATAGATCTCCTCGGCAGGAACAGGACTGAATGATCCCTGTCCACTCCAGCCTGGGTGAGTCCCAGTTCTGCTGACCTGAGGGACACATCTCCCCATGTCCCAGGCTCTGGAGAAGAGAGAATTAGTATGTGCAAAGTTTTCAGTTTATAGAGAAAGATTTGAGGTCTCTGCCCAGGAGGCTTTTTTGTACCTTCTTTGGCTTTTGGAAATTACAAAAGTTGGCCTGTTTCTTTAATATATGGCAAAGGTGGCTAGAATCCTGCATAGACACTTTTTAATATTTCGTATAAACCTAAACAAATACATTAAATAAAGGTCCTTTCACCTCCAGCTTGATGGTTCAAATCCAATCGTGCTTGGGAACAGAACTGTTCAAGCAGTAAAAATAAAACATCTCCTGATTTATGAATAGGAGTGTCAAGCTTTGACTTGTTCTGATTACTGGCATCACATTATTTGTGAACGTTCAGACAACTGCCAGAAAATCATGGAACACGTTTGTGAATCCCCAAAGTTTCATAAACTTCAGCCTGAGCAGTTATTTGCTTTCTGGTGAAGAAGTGGGCTGGCTGAAGCAGTCTGACAAGACCAGCTCACTAATGCTCAGGTCCCACAGTAACAATAATGAGTGTAAAGGCTCTTGTTTCTCTTGCACAGCAGAAGGTGGCAATTCTGCCCCAGTTCACACCAGACAATTGCCATTTGCTCTCGGGAGCTGTTGCTGCTGGTTTGAGGAAGCCAAGGAAGAAGGGATCCAGCTTGACTTTCAAATCTTGCATTGTTTGCTGGGCCAGCTGTTGGAAAAAAATCTGTTATTTGCTTCAAGGCTGAATTGTTCTGTTAGAGTAACCATGGCCAAGTAACACCAGGTTGTGGAGAACAGGAGGAGGGGGAAGTGGGGCTGTGGTTCAGAGCCCTGCACAAGGCAGGACACAGAGCTGTTCCCACACAAGTGGATCAGTCACTCTGTGTGTTTGTACCAGTGTCCAAGTGCCCTGAAAAACACAGGGATTTGGCAAATCCATGTGGATTCCACACCTGGAGTAGAGGTGCCACATCTAGAACCTAAAGTCAAAGCACTTCTGTGCTGAGATGACTCTCTCCCTGCCAGACTCTGCCATTCCAGTGGAAGGTGTCCCTGCCCACAGCAGGGGGATTGGAATTAGATGATCTTTAAGGTCCAACCCAAACCATTTTATGATTCACTTATTTTTTGGGCATCCAAAAGCAATTGGTGAATTCCAGGCTATGGGAATCTCGCTCAAAGCAATGTCAGTGGCTTACAGTGTGTCAGAGCTGCTCTGGGACTAATTGCACATGAGATTTTGAGCATTTTTTTAATGTTCTTTTCCTTTTTCTATGAGTCTTTATATTTTCTCACTGCTTTTTCTCCATCTGCAGAAAGTAAAATTTAGAAAAGGTTATTATAGCTGCTTTGTCACAATATATAGCACCTGCATGGAGAAGTGGCAGGGTAGGAATAACATGGCATGGTTTGCTTCTGCTCTCACTTTGCAGATGTGCAACTTTAAAATGTTACTTGTAATTTCTGTTGGTGTTACAAATAATAGATCAGGTCCACAATTTATTTGCTGAAGGTTCCAACAGATGTGGTGTAATTAACAGACTGTAATCATTAGGTTTTGGAGAGAGGGTGACACATCAATTTTTTAACTGTTTTTTCCACTTAGAAATACATCCAAGTAGTGCTGCCTCCAGAGGGATGTGCACATGGATGGATGTACTTTGTGCATGCCGTTTTATACACACTCCCACTTTGCTTTCCAAGCATTAACATGTGTAAATCCCTTTGGCACGTGCAGATACGTGCAAGTGGGTTGTGCATCATAGCATTTATTTGCATGTGGAAGAAAGCACATGTGGAATTGTGTGCACTGGTTATACTTGCACTGAAGGATTTTGAATGTTTGACCTTAGGTGGTGTCTCTTCATCTGCAACTCAGTGATTCAGTTCCTTTTGCCTTAAAAATAAAGGCAGGATGACTTTGGGTGGAGCAATAGTGATATTATTTTAGGAAATAAACCTTTGAGGTGTGTTGCTCAGTTACACCTCCTTTAATATAGTAACATGAAAACCACAGAGATGGAGAAACCAGTTTTGGTGGATGCATAGAGGTGCAGCTCAGGGGTGCAGGTGTTGAGCTGATACCCAAGTCTGCAGGGAGCACAACCCAGGGGTCCTTCCTCCCCACACAGATAACCCTGGGGCTGCAGCACAACACCACAAGCTCTCTGTTACAGGTCCCATCTGTTCCACAGACTCGTCCAACCAGTTGAGTTTTGCTCTCAGGGTCTTCAAGCAGGAGGGGCCTGTGGTGCTGTGATGCCCATTCCCAGAGTGATGTAGGAGGGAATCTGCAGGTGGTTCAGGTTAGGAGTTGTAATGAGCTTCTGAGAATGTTAATGCATGTGTTTGAGTTTTGAGGGTGGTTGAAATAGGGGAAAAAAAGGTCTGGAGAGAACTGCTTTTCCTTCACCTTTTGGGAGGGTTCTCAGGATTTTGTCCAGTAGCTCCTAATTTCTGCCAATAAACTCTCTTGGTGCACAGCAGTAAGGGTCATGGCAATATCTGAAAGCATTGCCCTGAAATGGCATTAAAACCTAAGAAATTTCACTGGGGAAGCAGGTGAGAGCCTTGTGGCAAACTGTTGGGTTATCCACCTCTATACAGCTGCCACTGATTGTTTAAATGCTTTTTTTAAATTATAAGTGAATGAGAGTACCCCTCTCATGGGGTACCCACATGGATTGTTTTCTTCTTCTTTAGGAGAAATTGGATTTTTCACTTTGTGTCTTTTAGAGGCTCTGATTCGGGTTTCCTACTGTTCTATCCCTTTCTTTAGGGACAGTGCAGGAGGCAGGAATCTGAAGTGCCTGATGCTTGAGAAGGTGAGTAATGACTTGGAGAAGACCTCGTGCGTATCTTTTGATCTTTGGGCTTCAGACACCCCTTCACCCATAATTAACTCATGTGTTGACTGATCACCTGAGTGATCAAGGGAGACTCAGCATGTCAGGGGAAACCAGGAAACTATTACTCTATGGCAAAACAGCAATCAAGCCAACTCGTCTGTGATACAAATCAGATCCCTGCAAGAGCAAGTCACGTAATGGCAAACTGTGCTGGAGATGGATGAGATCCTAAATCATTATCTTCAATAGCATCAATTATGTTTACAGGGTAAGCCCATGGTATCTTCATGGCAAGCACTACATCCAGATAACAGCAGCAGCAGCAACAACAGAAATTAAAATTACAGCCTGAATTTGGGGAGGGGCAGTGCACTAGACACAACTGGCCAATAAATCAAGACCATCCGTGGGTGAGATGGAGGGGAATGGTAATGGTTATCATGCTGTTGTATAAAATGCACATCTTAAGGTATATAGATCATTTAAAATATATATGAATTTGAAATCAGCCAAAAGATATGTCAGGCATTTTTCTTTGTAGAATTATGGTATGTTTTTAAAGCCTAAGTGCTTTTCAGTACAAATTTTAGCATGTTTTGCATTCAAATGGAACATCTACTATACGTGTGAAGCCCTTGCACACACTGACTGTAAAAGTGGAGGGAATCATTGGATTTATAGGTTCTTTTGCACATTCTGTCAAAGTCAGCCCTTCTGCCTAATGGAGCCAAGGAACAGGAAAGGCTTTCATTGCACAACTTTGCATAAGAGAGATGGTGTTTGCTGTCTGACACATCACAACCTGTAAACAAAGACTCAAAACAAGTCTGCATTAAAAGAAGGAACCTCAACTGGGAAGGGATTACATTAATAACAATTTCTGTAATGTCTTTATCAGCATTTCTGTGGCCAGTTTGTGATAATAAACAGGCAAAAAAAAAAAGCTCTTGTTTGAGATGGAAGTAAATTCCAGGCTGATATGAGTGATGTACCTCATAACCAGTTATAATTAGAAGGGAGGCTTCTTACAGCTCTGTTCCTCTATAAATCACAGCAGATATTACCCCAACTTGTACAACAACTATGAAATATGCTATGAAATGTGAAATGCATGAAATAGGTTCTTTTGTTGCAATTTCGTTCTCAGAAAAGCTCTAATTTGACACAAGCTTATGCCTTTTTTTGACAGGTTTCTTAAAAATAAGGCCCCAATTCCCTATTAAAATTTCCATTTAATAAAGTCTTTTTTTGTTTTGTTTTGGTTTGGGTTTTGTTTTGTTTGTTTTTTTGTTGTTGTTTGTTTTGGTGTTTGTTTTTTGTTTTTTGGGTTTTTTTTATAATCACAGTTTGTGCAAACTGAAAGCATTGCATATTTGGGTACACAGAATCCCTGGAAGAGCTGATCGAAAAAACTCAAGCCAACCTTGTCTACAGCAGAAGCTTCATCTCAAACAAAATTTTACACTGAAGAAGCCAGAAATACAGGATAGTAACTAAATAGATGTGTATTTTCCTTTCCTCTTCTGACAGAGTCATCTTTGAGCTGGCCTGATGCCCACCTGCTTTATTCCAGATGTGGCCATGGAAAGTCCCTAAGGAAAGCAACCACAGGGAAGAAAGTCTTGCTGGCTTAATACCTAAAAACAAAAGCAAAGTAAGTTTCCTTGAGTCTTTTTCTTATATTGATGTCTAAGTTTTTGTCCTATGAATTTTATTATATTTTTAATAGAAGATGAATGAGTTTATGTCAGAAGTGTGTTCTCTGGAAACAGAAGAGCCATCCAGGACTGTTGGTATGGCAGGGCTGTAGCTGCCTCTATGGATCCTAATTTAAAGCTGTAATTGCAGATAAAAACATAATTATATCCCCCAACCACCTTAACTGAAAGGATTGATTCACAAGAGCAAAGCATGATAAGAACTTCTCTATGGGCCAAGTGCTCATGGACATTTGAACCCCCTGTTTGGGCATGGCCTGGATTTGTTCTTGTGTGGAAGAACATCATGGGCACTGGGGAGACGTAGAAAACAACCATGGTTCCCCTTCTCTCAGAGCAGGTTTTTTGAATGAATGTGTTAGAGGACCTGAGGAGGAATAAAAGCAGAAGATTGTAGTTCCTCCTTGAATCCGCCCATATTACAGGATATTAAATGTACAGCATGTTAAATACGCCCAAGGTCTTTTATTGTGAGTGATCCTCAGAGAAGATGCAAACCCCACTTTTCCTTAAAGGAAATTGGTGGAGGCTGAAGATCCTGAACCCCCCTTTCAGAACAGGGCCCTGGAACAGAAGGGGGGGCACTCCCTGTCCTGGCATTCTCTCAGCCCACCGGAACAGGAGTATCTCATCACAGCTAGGGAGGGGAACACCCAGGACCTTCAAGGTACCAAAACACTGTCAGGGATCTCAGCCCAAGAGATTAGCTCTTCTTTAGCAACCCAGATTATTTTATCTTCAGAGCCAAATAACTCTACTTATGGTGCAGTCTAACAAGCCAGTCATGTCTGCTTAATATTCTCAGCTTGGAGGAGTAAATCTGTAGGGCAAGAAATATTTTTATAAGTCTGAGATTAAGAGCAATGGGGGGGGAAGGCTTACACTATGATTGACTGTAAAAAGAGTGAGATGTCATTACTCGAGGGAGGGTTCAAATATGAGGGACAAACTTAGCTGCTTTAAAAATAAATTAGTATTTTTAAAGAATTAGACAGAACTCTTGTTTATTAGATGAAATTATCAATTGTTTTGTCTTCCAGAGGTAAACAAAGAGCTGAGGGAGTTTCAATCACTCACTCAGTCTTATGACCTTATGGTCACTGTCCAAAATACCAGCAGTAATGTTCCATGCTGGAGAACTAAGGAGAAGAAAAGCAGATACTCAGCAGGGTTAGCCCAGTGTCCTTCCAAGTAATCCCTTATTTTTCCAAAACATTTCCATATGGGGAACTCTGTCACTGAGCAGAAGCACTGAAAACAGTGTGGTCAGTGCTTTGTGTGGATGCTGATATTGGCTGTTGAACACCCAGAACAGTTGACAGGCTGCAGGGCTGCCCTGCTGGCTGAATGGAGAACTGATGCCTGGGGCTGAAATGTGATTTGTAACATAAACTCCAACCAGCAAATGGGCATCACCATCTGGGAGGGAAGCAGGGAGCTTGGATTAGCTCCTCTGGTGAAGATGAGTACCCAGGCAGAGTCTGAAGAACTGTTGCAGATATGAAACTCTTGCCCTGAACTTGGTGGAAAATTGGTTCAAAACACAAATTTGCAGGATACACTTATTTATGCAGTGGGCTTGAGATGTAACCCTGAATCTAAATCCATTTTTGCTGGGCAAAGTTGGGATCTGGCTCTCTGCTAACCCTGAAAGCCTAGCTACAGTTCACCACTCCTAGAAAGCAGAGGGACTTACTCTTAAGAAAAAGACTCTCTTTTTTTTTGTGTGTGTTTGTTTTTTTCCTTTTCTTTCATTTCCCCTTTGTTTAGTTTACTTTTTTATTTTCTTAAAGGGAAAATTTGTTGCAATAACACGAAGCCATCACGCTCTCTCTGGTTACAGCTGAGTGACACTACACGGGCAGCAGAATATGTACAAATTAAACTGTAACAACGTCCCGGGGAGAGGCACAGCAACAGCATAAAAATTATCCACAGTGCAATATGACTAATGTTGTGTGAAATGCATTCACTGGCGAAATGATGTCGAGGTGTATCTTAAGGAGTTATGCTGCTGGAGATAATGGTTGTGGAGGGGAGCTGAAGGAAGGGAAGGCGAGTGAAGGACGAAAGGTTGCAGCGAGGGCAGCCTGGCTGGGAGGAGGCTGGGGCAGGTGAGGGTGAGCAGGAAAGCTGAGCTCCTCTGGAACACAGAACCATGTGCTGAGCACTCAGTGGCACCTTTCCCTCTCACAGCCTGCTGTGGAGGTGTGCTGCTCTTCCAGGCACGCTCATGTGTTTCTGTGCTCCTTCTCACCTCCTTTTATATGGGCTTTTTGCAAACATTTATCCAGAAACACAAGCTGCACATGTGTTAAATATTCTCTAGCTCCATTACTTATAGAAATGTCTTTTTTTCCCCTCTTTCTAGGTAAAAAAGAAAACAAAAATCCCAAAGAGAAGGGACTGATTTTTTATTAGCACATCTAAAACGAAGAAATCAGCTCAAATTTAGAGAGAGGATGGCTAGAGTAAACAGTTCATTAAGGTGCACTCACAAGTTTTCATCTCATTCCTTAATCTGAGAGTCTTTTTGAAGTAAGTACATGTTTTGCCTGAATAAGGAACTTGAGTATTGGTAAATTAATTTGATTTTCCTCTCCATTAAACACAGATTTAGGAAAAATACGTGTAGTGACCCATTGTAGCATCATGCTTATCCACAGATGTTTATCTAGCACATGAACGTTTTATTTTCAAAGGAATTTAGGGATTACCCAAGCAAGTCTTTTCTTTAAAATCCAAGTTCCATTTTCCAGAACAGCTGAGGTGAGCTGCCAGCTCACTGAGTATCTCTTACAAACCTAAGTACTTTTTAAAATCAGAGCACTGGTCAGCAAAGTGGACTTGGCTGAAATAAAACCATTCCCTGGGCAGTGTGTTGCTGGAGTGCAGGGCCTGGTCTCTGGTGCAGTCACAGCCTCTCAAATTACCAGAAAAACAGTGTTTTGATGGTGTTTTTGATTATTTGCTGCCTGGTTGGTTACAAAGAAGCACCTTAGGCTGAAATCATGCAAAGGTTGTTCTTTCTGACGTGTGGGAGCCACGTTAACCAGTTTTGCTTCTCATTTATTGATATGTACAAGGATGGGAGGTAGACCCAGCCAAAAATGTTGGGATCCAACTATTTTCAAAGCCCTCAGATATCCAGAGGGGGGAGTTCATTTGTCTCCTCCTGAAGATAGTGGGTCCCCATGGAACACTTCAGTGGAAGGCAAAGCTCTCCAGAGATGTGGGGTGTGCTGGACTCAGGGTTTCTGTTCTGCTTCAAAGGCAAAGGAGGAGGGAGTGATGTGATAAAATCAGTGTTTTCAGCCCTAAATCTAACTTGGATCTGGGGGTTCTTTGTGAACCTTATAAAGCTTTTTCTGCAGCCAACCACCTCCACTCAGCACTGAGCACGTGCCAGGAATTCCCCAGCAAAGGAAGCTGCCAGAACTCATGGAGTTGGGATAACTCTCTGCTATCAAACCCATAAAACCCCCAGTGCAGGCAGGGCTGTGGTGTGGCCAAAGGGGAACATCCTCAGCCTGCAGCCCCTGCTCAGGGATTTTGCACCCTCTCTGTGCTGCAGTTTCATGCTTTTCCAGGGCTGTGCTGGCTCTGTGCAGCAGGATTTCTGTGTGCCCTGTTCCTCTGGGAGATAAACCTGAGCCACGGACTCTGGGGGCAGGAAAGCACGTTCTGGCTCTGCCAGAGTGTGTGCAGTGATACAGCAAGCTCAGCACTGGGAAGGGGGAGAGGCACTCTGGGGCCTGGGCTGCTTTATAGCTCAGCTGATTCTCTTCTTTCCCTCTTCCGTATCCCCTTAATAGCTTGACAGGAGAAATCCAGGGAAGATACAGCCCTGTGATTAACAGTGCTGGGGGCTGGGGAGGGATGACAGGGAAGTGCAGCGTGGCTACCAGCCAACTTCCAGCAAGAAACAGAATATCTGGCTTCCTCTAATCTCCAGAGGAAAATTAAGTTACAAAAACCTTTAGTGGAAACTTTGCATGCGTTCAGTGCCATTGCCATGCCTGACAGGGAAAAAAACCCCTGATGTATTATTTAGTTTATAGTGATACAATTAAAGGCATAAGCTTTCCCACCAGGAATGAAGGGGAAGAAATCCTCTTGAAAACTGAAGACAAAACCCCTTTAAACTCCTTGAATGTTTTGTGCTGTCAGAGCTCTTGAGAAATTCTCCTTTCTGTGTCAATGGGTGGTTGTGTGAATTGTACTTGAGAACATCTTCCCCATGAATTTCTGCACTTGCATCCAGAGCCCTTCTCCTTTTCCCAGCCATTTGTGCTGCTTCCCTCAAGAGCACTGCAGGGCAGGAAAGGATGGAGGTGGGCAGGAGAGGATGGAGGTGGGCAGGAGAGGATGGAGGTGGGCAGGAGAGGATGGAGGTGGGCAGGAGAGGATGGAGGTGGGCAGGAGGCTCCCAACTCCCCTGGGCAGACACTGCCCCAGGAAAGGCTTTGGCTGCTCACGCTGCCCCTGAGAGCCAAGGCCCTGCTGCTCATCAAACCCGTGTGTGACACAACTGCTCCCCCTCCTCCCTGTCTGTCATCAGTGGTGATGAAAAATCAGGGAGTTTGATTTAAAAAAATAGTTTAGGTGTTAAGTGAGCAACAAGTTGGGAACTGTGTGTGAGAGAAAGCACTAATTAAAATTAAAAGGCCTCCTTATTGACAGGTACATCTAAAGCAGCTGGAGCAACCACAATGAAAGGATTACTTACATGTTAGCCAGTTTAGGAGAGGAAAAAAAGAAGCTGGATTGGCTGGTTAGATCCCTGCTTCATTTAATCTTATGGCATGTTGATAGATGTGTGAACTGAGGTATTCTTCATGTCAGAAACACTGAACAAGGGTCTGAAATGGCATCATGTGGCTCAGCACCAAGCATTCCCCTGCCTGGCTGTGCTGTCCTCTTGCTGGTTGCTCAGGCTGGTAGGAATATGGCTCTGTTTGCTCGGAGAGGAGAAAGTACAGTTGCATTTTGCAGTATTTCCCTCTACCTGGTTGCTCCCAACCTTCCTCATGTGATTCCTTCACCAGCCTCACCTGAAGGGAACATTTTCCATGCAGATGAATGTCAGAGCCATGTCTACATGCCATTTCCCCTCTGAGCACTTTATTTCTCTTCAGCCTCAGGGACCTCAACCCCAGGCAAAACTCCATGTGGGGCTGAAATTGTACCCTGGCCACAGGAGAGGGATGTGTTTGTGTAAGTGGGCACACACAAAAGCAGATGTGTGCCGTCCAGAATAAAGGAGGCTATTCAGAAGGTCACAAAAAGGACAATTTATGGCCAGTTTCAGCAATTAGTCAGACCAAAGTGAGGTGGGTCAGTATTAAAACCTCACTGTTTTGTTTACTTTAAAAAAGCAACAGGGAGTTTCAGCTGATGAGCAGAAATACTGAGAGAGGGTAATTAAAGAGAAACAATCTGCAGTGTTTCTCTTCATTTCGTTGTGCTCCCCTTACTCAGTGTTGAGAAACAGAGCTGCTGCTTTCTCTGTGGGAGGGTGGTGTGGGGGTGGCTGTGTGGGCACTTCTGCAGCAGGAATTCACTACTCCCTTCCTGCCAGGCTCCTGCACCTTGCAGTGAATTAAGGTCCTTCCTCCAGAAGTGCACCCAGCAGAGCTCCTGGGTCTCAGGCTATAGGGCCATCCTCTCCTATGACTGTTTTTATTGTGCTAATGGGGGAAAAAATTCCCTTGAAAGATTGATAGCTTCTAAAATACCCCCCAGCCCAAAACTTCAACTACATTAAACCTCGAGCAGGACCCACGCCCCACAGTTAACCACCTTATGTTAGTATAAATATCCTGTTCCATCTGAACTATTTTGTGTTTTATTCAGGTCCCAGTTCTCCTGCTGCCAACACTTGATTTTATGCCACAGTCTCATGAGTAGGGATTTCACAGATGTTTTTACAGACTCCTGAGCAACCCAAAGCTTTGTGCTATGTGGGACCCTTTAAAGTGCAGGTTGTAGATGTACAGTAAGAAGGTAAATTTTCCATGACTTTTTGTTTTACCTTTTAAGAGGTCCATGGGCAGCCTCTTCTGCCTTGTGCATCGTGGGGGTGCCTGGGGAAGCTGATGGATGATCTCCTGTGTGGGGATAAGAGTGAGAGATGGAAAGTGCAGTGGAATGGCTGGGCATTACTTAATGGAAGTGTTTTAATGAAAGAAAAGATATTTAAATATGTGGTTTGATTCACTGCAAATTTGTGGCAGTAGATGGGGCCCTTACTGTAATAAAATTCCCTCGAGTTGGGAAGTCTCTTGGGGGTGGTGTGAATATGCAGATACTGGTGTGATTTCTTAAAGATCAGCTCTGACCTGACTCAGGCACTTTGTTGTTTCCATGTAACTGCCCATGAAAAAAAGCCAACACAAAAAGGTGGAAATCAATGTTCTTAGACTTCTGTGTCCCATCTTTTCATTCCATCTGTCCTAATGTCTTCTTTTACTGTCTTCCTTTCCAAGAAGCTGCAAACCCCCTGGCTCCCTGGTCTTGCTGACTGTGGACAGAACCCGTGTTGAGATCAGAGAGGAGCGAGAAGGGAAACACATCCCTGGAACAGGATGGGGCAGGACCAGAACCTCACTTTGTGCCACCACGCTGTGGATTCAACATTTCCCTCCTGCAAACACATTTCCTGGCAGTGCTGGGCTGGCCTGGAATCCAGACCTGGTCTGCTCGAGGCACAGCCATTATCCTAAAGTGCTTTTATTGATCTGTTGACTTTCTGTCTCCCTCCTTCTCTTCCTCTCTTCACCCTGCCAGCCTCCTGAAGACTCATATCTTGTCTCATACAACCAAGGTATTTTAAGGGGAGAACAATGATTTTGAAGTCAGATTAGACAAATTATACTTGACCAGTGAAACCAGATATCCCCCGAATGATGTCTGTGGAAGGATTTGTCTACATTTGCAAACAGCCCCTCTTCCTTCTCCTCTTATTTTCCCCCTCTGTGTGTGTCCTGGTGTTCTTCAAACAATCCATGTCAAGGCCTGGTACATCTTCCTTGAGCAGCCTGTTCCCCAGAGGGGCAGTGCCATCCTGTCATGCTTTATTTTTGGTTAAAGAAAGCTACAGTAGTAAATCTATACATGTGCTGTGATATCCAACAGTATTGAAGGCTGAGATTTAAAGAGGGGCCTGAAAGAATTAGTAGTTGATGCCTGTGGAAAGCCCAAAAGAGCTGTGTGCCTTACTGGAAATTTGAGGTGAAACATGTTGGAGTGCAATATATTACAGTGACCTGAGCTGCAAATCCTTTGGAGGTGGAGATAAAGGGAGAAAGATTAATACTGGAGAAAATGTTAACAGTCCTGTGTATTACCAAATACTAAAAAAGGGGTTTGGAAGTTGGTTGATTTGATTTGATTTACTATTTCAGTGTTCATAGTTTCTCAGGTTTCTGGAAAATTGCAATTGCTTCCAAATTACATTGCTCATTAACTAATTGGTTAAGGCACAGGCATTTAGTCAGTGGTCTGAAAAATACACAGGTAAATACCGAACAGTTAAAAAGGCTAAATTTGGTTATAAGAGTGCATTAACTTTTAAAAAATCCAAAGTGTGAGGTCTTTCATATGTCTGAATACATCATTATTCATGAATGCAGTATTTGACAGATAAAGAAGTTATCAGTAGTTTATAGTTAGGCGTGCATGTTTATGTATAAATGCTTTATAATGCTAATTTTTTAATGTTGAAACAATATAAGTAAAACCATATTTCAGTAAAAAAACATAAATTCACATTGAACTCTTTTGTTAGGCTGGATGGTATTTTATCCTGTGAGGAATATGCCCATGAAAGTAGTGTGACTGTTTTCACTGGGAAATATTAATGAGATTAAGGACAAAAAACTTTTATTCCTTATCCAGCTTATTCATATCACCATTAGTTTTCTTCTTATGGAATCTCATGGAGAAGAAGATAAATTAATTTGCACTAATGAAAAGGGTTGCCTGTGCAGTACTGAAACCCTGAAGCTTCTGCTGTTGCTCTCGTAAGGCAGGAGGAGAACCAGCTCTGTGGTCTCAGGTGGGCAGCAATCAATGGGCAGGGTCTGCAGGCAACCCACTGGGGAAATGTTCATGGAGAGAATTCAGCCAAGAAATTGGAATATAGTGAAATGGGGAGGGGGAAAAAGAAATCCAAGTCTGCTTCCGTATTACTGGGGAAGTGAAAACATGTTGGTGATAAGTTTCCCAGAGCATGGGATGCCAACTTGTGCACACAGGACAGTGGCCCTGGAGTGAGTGGGGGTTCAGGTGAGGAGCAGCAGGTCACAGCTCGGGGAAGAGGACTTTGCTCCTTGTGGGGCTGTGTCAGGAACAGTGAGCTGTCCTTTGGAAATCACAGGCAGGGAGAAGGGAATGGGAGTCCTGGGGGGAAGAGAACCTTGAAAGCTTGAGGCTTGGCAAGCACCCCCTGCGTCATTTACTGTCCTGGAGAAACCAGAGCAGCAGCAGAGCTCCTGAGCTGCACCCCCGGGAGTGCAGCACATTCACCTCGTGCACTGGCTGGAGGGAAGAGCCAGAATTGTCTTCCCTCCCAGACAAAGCTCACAGTGACACTTTCTCGTGGAGAAAGTGTAACTCAGTGTATTCTGAACTAGGCACAAATGTGCATTTCTTTGTCAAAACGTAGAGATTTTGAGGCAATATGGTTTTGAGAGGGGGTGTGTTTGGCCAGTTCTGTAGAAATCCTGATCAAAGCACTGGCTCAGTCAGTGAGATGCTATTAACAACTGCTGTAAGTAGACTGAGAAGTTTGTTTCTGTTTCAAAACCTAATTGCTCAGTGAAACTTCCTGAGTAAACAGGTTTCAGGGCCAGGAGGGCTCATAACCACGCTTGTCTGGTAAGAGATTGTACAATGATAAAGCTGATGTTAGTTCTAAAAGGTAAATTTGTCTTTATACAGAGCAAGGTGAATTTGTGGACCTCCCTCCTGCAAGATTCTGTCAGGACAAGCTGGGAAGTTGGATGTCTGAGACAGATCAAGATGATTTTCCAACCACCAGCACGCAAGTAAACACACGATGTAATTTGCAAGCAAGGGAAAGCAAGCCAAAAATCACATTTCAAGATATAAATGATGCTTGAGCAGAATTATGTAAAACTCTGTCTCCTCTGACAGCAGCCCTGAGCATGGACGATGCATTTGGTGGGGTGGCACTGCCAAGCTTGCACATGCCAAGCATGAGCTCAGGCAGGTGAGCTGGTCTGCTGGGGGAAATCCTGTGTGGACAGCAGTCCTCTGCCTGGGGCCTCTGGGGCTTTGCAGGAAAGAACTTTCCTATGGATTAGAATGCAGTGTTTGGGATGGTCAGTGACACAGGATTGGAGGCTGTCCCAGGGAGGAGGATTCTGAACTGGGACCTGCCTGGCTTTTTATCTGCCAGCCAGGTGAGCCAGGCAGCCCCACACCTGCTCTGTCAGATGGAACACAGAGCAAGAGGGAGAAGGAACGGAAACGTTCTCTACTAATTCAGGGGGAGGAGAGAGGCAGGAGGAGCCCTGTGCACCTTTCAGCTCACGCTGACTCGAGCTGCCAGCAGAGCAGTTGGGAGCTGCAAGGTGTGAATCCCCCAGGAGACTACTGTAATTAAGGATCCTGCAAGGTGAAGGGGGGGAGAACACTGCAGTAAGTTCATCAGCAGCATCGCCATCGACCCTCTGCCCCTCTTGGACACCCTTTGGAGATCTTCAGCGTCTTCTGGGTTTGTTTCAGGGCCAGGAAGCAATGCTGGCAAATGCAAAGGTGTGAAATGTTGGCCGACCGATCCCAAGCGCCCTACGAGGCACTGCAGGGAGTGTTACTCTAAGTGGATGATGAGCTCAGTTCAGAGGCTGCGAAGTTAAAGCTTATTACCCTCATTAAGAGATGTGTGTAATGTGGTTTCAGGCTTCTGATATGGTAAACCCAACATTTTCCAAGTGTTTTGTTGTTCTGTCTGTTGTGCTTGGAGGGGAGTTCAGTTTCTGTTTTGCACTGGGTCGTATTCAGCCCAGAGAAAAGCTTCCTTCACGGAGTTCAGAGTTTGGGATTGCCTCTGTGAAGGCAGAGGCTGAGTGTGGGGCAATGTGTGTCAGAACCAGGAGTTTCCCTGTGAACAGAGGGAAACAAGGAGCAGGGTGCAGGGATGTTCAGGTGCCTCTGCTGAGAACCAGTGCTGTAAGCACTGGGGCTGAAGTGCCAGGCCATGCAGGGGTCCCTGTCCTGTGCTCCTTGGAGCTCTGCATGCCAGGAGATGGGGTTGTGTTTCTCCCAGCAGGGTGAAAATGCAGAAAGACAGCTCAGGTTTAGCTTCCTTTGCACTTTAACAAGCAGGAGCACTGTGGTGGGTGGGGCAGGATCAGGAAGCAGTTTAGGTTTACCAGGTACCGTTTGCACAAGAAGACTTGAGTGTCTCTGCCATGTGCTCCTCATCATCCCCATTGTCTGTGCCTTTCCTCTATCTGGGCTCCCACAGCTCCTCCCAGTGATGGAGCACTGGCTCTCCACTCAGCTTGGGAGGGTCAGGTCAGGAGAGGTTTGAGGTGCTCAGCCCTGCAGTGAAGCCCTCCCTGCCTCAGAGGGCTGCAATTGAAACCAGCTGATCCCACGTCCCTTGCAAACATTTCCATTTCAAACCACTGAAGTTTTATGTCTTTCTAGTAAATTTTTTTTCTTAGGCCTCATAAATCTCATAAAGATCTGGAACAGCCAGTAAATCTGGCCATTCAGATACACATTTTCCAGTAAAGAGGATAATGGTTGCTGATGCCACCTCCCCTCCCCAGCCCTCAGCTGGAGGAGTTCCCCTTTCCCTGCCTGCAGCTCTGGCCAAGCTGAGAGAGGCACTGGGCAGGTCCTGTTTGCACCAAGGACTGAGCCACTGCTGCACCTCTGCTGCCTTTGCCACTGCCCCTACCCAGGACCTGAGCAAAACCATTTGTCCTCTGCATGTCTCAGATCAGGAGAAATAGGTTGGTGCTTCCCTGCTCAGCGGGTTGGGAATCTTGGCTGAACCTTAGTTCTGCTGTGAGAAGTTGCAGAATTCCAGGCTGGGGATCCTCCTAAACATGAGAGTGGACTCTGTCAGCAGGGCCTCAGTGCTCCTGCTCCCTGCCCTCCATGCAGGTTGCTCGTGGCTGGGCTGTGGTTGGCTCTAGTCCCTGGGATAATCCAGAGAGGAACCTTTCTACCTGAGCACCCACAGCAAATCCAGCAAAGTCTCTTAGGCTTGGATTTCCAGGTAGGCTTGAAAGGACATGAACTCGAGGACAGCATAAACCCAAGACTCCTCAGACTTCCATTGGAAATACCAGGCAGAAGTGCTGAAGTTATTTAGAAAAACATACTCTAGAAATAGAACATTGAAAGCATATTTCCCCTTTATTTGTTGTCTTCCAAGTTCAAACAAGCTTATTTCCTTTCCTGCAATGCTGCTTTTGATAATCTTGTGCCAAAGGCACTGAATCTGTTCTTATTGCTGTCAATAGCAAGATGCCTGTTGCTTTTAATGGTTCAGCTATTAAAGCACTGCACCCCAGTTGTCTGGCTGTGAGCAATCCCAAGCTATCGCAGTGACAATATGGAACCTTTTTCCTCTCTGAATGTTTCTCTGCAAAGTTTGACCATTTTGGCTGGGGTAAAACATGTGTCTATCTGGGATTCTTTCCAAGGATGAGATTTTGACAGCTGTGCTCATGTTGGCAAAAATCCTGACATCTTGTGCTTGGTTGAAATAGCAGATTCTTAGTGGAGAGGGGTGGGAATCCGATTTCATAGATGAACACTTATGAATTGAAGACTGTGAGCCTGGCTGAGCCCCTTTCACTTGGGTGAAGAGGCTGAACCTCCTCTGGGAACAGGGTGGAGCCTCCCTTTCTCCCCCTGCCCACCTGTGGGCACAGATGGCCCATGGGCAGTGGGTTGGAGCTCTCTGTGCCTCTGCCAGCTTCGTGCAGCAGTTTGGGACATGCCTTGGACTGCACCCACCAAAGTGGGAGTCAGCCTGTTTGCAGTACATGCCTAATGATTTTCATTTACATTTTGGATGTTTGGACATGACTGGGGGTGGTGTGAGTGAGCTTTCAGTGAAAATCCACCTTTGCAGCCCTGAGCAAAGCTCAGCCTGTAACTTATGCTGCAGAGCCTGTGAAAAAACAAAGCCTTGCTCCAGTGTGAAGCAGCTTGTTTGGGGGTTTTACAATCACTGTTATGATTAGGATGATTGAGTGTTTTTTGTTTACCTTTTTTTTTTTTCATGGAGTGAAATCTCCATCTTGAACTGGAGAAATATTTCCCACAAACGCTGTAATTATTCAAAGCTGATATGTTTCTGCAGTAACCTTCAATCTGATGGACTGTCACTTTTCTGATGAAGAATCACTTGTTTGGAGACTCGAATTCCTATTATCTCAACAAATAGGGAATGGTGGCTCAGAAAATTGTGTCATGAGGTCACCCAGGTTCTCCACATCAGAGCCAAGGATAAACTGGAACAGGTCTGGTGGAAGGTCATCAAAAAGTTTTCAGAAGGTATTTTGCAAAGATTATATTTATTTCAGAGTTTCCAATGGCCAGATAGTTCCTTTATATTTTACCAAGAAAAATAACTTAAAAAAAAAAAAGTAACGAGGTTTTAAAACCACATCAACAATAATTTTCCATGTCTGGTATTTCACTGGAAAACAGGGAAAAATATTTTTAAAAACACAAACAAGATAGTAGTCAAACAACAAACCCCCAAACAAAACATACCTCCTGATGAAAACAATTCAAACAGTTTTGCTCAGGACAGATTGTAGCTTAGGGTTAGACACAGAAATTCAGATGTTCACCCTTGCTCCCATGGCAAATATAAGGTATTTGATGTAGCTTTTAAAGGAAAATCAACTAAAGTGGCTCAAATTCATTCTTACTGTGCATTAAGTGACGTATACAGATATTTACTGTCCATGAGAAAGCACTTGGGTAGCCTTTTCATGTCTTTAGGTGCTCAAGCCTTCTTTAAGTATTTGGGAGACTGCAGATCCCTGTTGTGGGACAGATGAGTGGGATTTGAAATGGGTGAATCTGGGACAGCCCAGGACAAGAGCAGGGGGATGTGTGGGGCAGGCAGGGGAGCTGGAGGTGAGCACTGAGCACAGAGTATTTATCCTTGCATAGGCTGGCCATGCGCTGAGTGGCCAAAAAAGTGACCAGTAACTACAAAAATATATGGGAAAAGCTGTAGCCCTTGTGCTTTGCTTGTGGGACCTGTTTGAGGAGCAGAGGGAAGGCCCCTGTGCTGTGTGGGAGGTTGGTGAGTGTGACCCTGAGCGATGCTCAGAGGCCTCTCAAAGTCCTGCCTTAGTGCTGAGCTCTCCCCTTCCTCTCCAACTTGTTTTTTGAACACTAGGGCAAATATTAGCACATCTGGGAGTGCTGGGCTGCTGTGTTTGGAGTGCTTGTAGCACCCCTGTTAGCTTGATTAAAACTAACATCCCCATTTCTACACTGAGAAATTCCAGTGGCGTGTCTCCCATAAATTAAACTGAAATTCCAACTCTGGGTTGTCTTCTAGTTCTGCAGCAGATCTGTTTACTCTGGAATAGCGTAAGGCAGATGTCTTCATCTTTGCTGATTCTTAACAGGTCACAGGCATTGACTTTAAATAACTAAAAGCCTTTAAAATAATTTTAACACATGCTTCCCCCTCCCCAACAGACCTTAACCTTTAGCTGGCCTTAACCAGAAACGCCCAGGATAAAATAATCCTAAAACAGAGCATCATAAACCGAGGAGCAACTTTAAATATACAGTGTGATCATTACCTGAAACCAGGGAAGAGGTTGGAATAATTATTGCTCGTGTTTACACTTCTGTATCTCAGTGGGTTATGTTCAATCCCTTAATGATGATGATTAAAAACATACTGGAAACACGTGGTAATTAGAGCGAGCACTTAACCGTGATTCCGAAAGCACAGAGGTGGCTTTGAAGTGGGACTGGACACAGTGTGTGTTGCCAAAACATTGCCAGAGTCAGGAGCACCCTGCAGCAGGTCCTTGGTAAGCATGGGCACGATGCCCTGTCTGGTTTGGCTCCTGCAGCATCTGCCTCCAGCACCAACCTCAGAACTGCTCCTTGTACGTCACTGAGGCTCCTGCAGCCCTCAGAAAGAGCTGATTGATGGGGGGTGAAGGATCATGCAAATACTCTGCTTTTTAACTTCTGTAAAGCCAAAGCTGAATTTTGGTTTGTTTCTCCATGGGGGACCTTTGGAGGACGAGGCAGTGTTTGGGAAGAGGGAAGGAGGAGGAAGTTTGGGGTGACAGCGGGTGCTGGTTTAGGCACTTTGCCGTGCCAGGACTTCAGTATGGGTACTGACATGAAAGGGAATTCTCCAGCCACGAGCTGTAAACCTTGTGTTTTAGGAGTGTTCCTGTGGGTGAAGGATAGGGGCATGTATTGCAGAATGGATTCCTTTGTTTGTTTTCCCCATTTAAACAAACAAAAACACTCCTATTATAATAAGCAAAGAAGGGGGAGTGATGAGGCTTGTGCTGCAAAATCATGTTTGCTTGAAAAGTTGTCCTGTTTTCCATTGCTTAATTTCAGCTGACCAGGGAGGGCATGGAGGCTGGGGAGAACACAGCTACTTTCTTGGATGTATTTTTATGAGCAATAGAGAGGAGTCCTCCCAGGGGGAACAGTTTAGTGTAAGGAGAGCAGAGCTCAGAACAGGTCCTCCCTGTTCCTTTGGGGCTCAAAGAGATTCACTTCTCCTCATTATCCTTTAATTTTCTTCATCATCTCTCTTGATAATTTTCTCTGCAAACCCAAATTCAGTTTCTGTGCCCATACTGATGCCACAGAGAGCACGTGCTTACACCATGTGTCTCCCATTTGGGTGGTGTTCCTGTCCCCCCACAATGTCCCCTTGCAGGCTGTCACTGAGACTCAATACACCGAAAACAAGGCTTTTCCCCACAGTTGTGCTCTTTCTTAAACAATGTGGACACCCTTATGCTCCTGCCTGTCTCTCACACCTCTGGGGATTCCCTTTACCTTGTGTCTCTTTAGGTTTGTGCCTGCAGGCAGTGTTGAACTGGCCACTTGTTTCTGTGTAGCCTCTCTAAAATATTGCCCCTTGTGTCCCCTGTCCTGGCTCCCAGGCCTGCTCAGGCTGTCACTGCCATGCTCCTCAATCACTGTTACAACAGGGCTAATTCTGGCCTTGGCAAATCCCATCTCACCCTGTTCATGCCCACTCTTTATGCTCAAAAAAAAAATCACTTGCCTTGCCTGTCCATCACTCCTCCTGCTGCACCTCCCTCGCAAGTCTTTGCTCTTGGTCATATCAGGCACAATCTACTCATCCAGCATTCTGCAATTCTGCTTTTGGGTCTCCTGTCCCTCTGCTCAGAGATCACTGATGGTGGCAGATGGAGGGATGTGCAGAGAGTGGAGTTTGTTTAGGAGAAGATGCAGCAATATCAGGAGTCCACATTCAACTCCACTGCTTTTTCCTTGTTGGGGTGTTCCTTGGAGGAGCCTGACACTGTACATGGAGTGTCCCGTGCCCTGGCCTGTGCAGGACAGGATCAAATTGCTCTGGTAGGGCTTTGCAGCACACTTGGAGCTGTATTCCAGCTCAGAATCTCCTGCAGCTCCCAACCACGTGGGACCAGTGTGAGCAACAGACTTCAGTCCGTTTTCTAAATGAGAGTTTGGGCTGCAAAGCCCAACTGCTGAGCAGTTCCTTTTCCTGTGAGAGGGAAGAACTGTGGTGAAAGCTGAAGGAAACCCCTGCTGCAGCCCTGTGTTGGGAACAAAGGTCACTGGCTCTGCAGCAGCCAAGTGTGCAGCCCAAGGCCAGCGAACACCTTGAGCCTTGTCCCGAGGCTCTGGGACCCTTCACAAAAGCTGGGCAGGATTCCAGTGCTGAGCCAGAGGAAGGACACTTGGCCCATGTTGCACCTGGGGCATCTCAACCTTATTGCAGTGTCACATAAGGCTTTGTCTGGGTTTATTTTATTTAATGGCCTTTTTTTTTTCCTGGTTATACTGTCACAGGAAATTCTCACTGTTCTATTACCTTTTTCCTGCCGGAACTAGCCTTAAAATATAATGAATAAATAAATATATATACATACATATAAAAATATGCAGACAGGAAAGCCATTCAGATCTGCAGAGGCCTTGATAACGCTGCTGATGAGGTTGCCAGCTTTCCCTGTGTCTGAGCTGAACAATTCCCCACCACCTCCCCAACCCCTGGGAACTCAAGGGGAGGTAGTTGTGAAGCTTCTAATTCCGAGTGCAGGTGTCTGGTTTGAAAGACACCACATGCCATGTTTTAATCTCATTTAGGAAAAAGGTAATTAAATAAAAATGCAGATGTGTTACAGTCACAGTTCCTGAACATCTGAAATGCCTGTCAGGTTTAAAAAAGTAAAGAATAAATCTCTCTGGAGGAGCACTGTCCTCTCCTCTGTTGTAATATTATCCAGTATTAGTATTTTAAATAAGAGGAAGAGTTTAGAATGTCAACATCTGCTCTTACCCATCTCTTTAGAGCAGGAACACTGTGTTTAAAAACAAACAAGATAGGAATGCCTGAGCTCTCCTCATTATTCTGTGTATCAAAATATTCCTGCCAGTGTTTACTTGTTGCACGTTCTGCTCCATCATTTGGTGTTCTCAAGGTGCTGTAGATCATCCAAAGCAGAGCAGTTGTTAGACCTGCTCAACTCTGTCATAACAACTCGGGTACTCACTGATCTTGCTCTTCTGAATTCTTAACTTGAAAAGTATAAATGCCACTATATTCTAGATAAACTGCTTGAAAAAGATCATTTTGAAAAAGATTAGCCAGCTTTAGGATGGGCTGTTCCCTGGGGAGCAGTAATGATGATGGGAGCAGCGATAACAATAAGCTTACCACAGAATTCATCTGGTCTCAGGCCAGCCCAGTATTTAACCCCATGCTCAACTCCTCCAGTGTGTTTGCATCCCTGCTGAGCAGAGTTAAGCTCATCCTTCAGCTCTGTGCTCCATTGCTGCTGGATTCCAGCACATGCTGCTCCTGTTGTTTGTTTGAGATGTGCTATTTCTGGGTTTGACCAGCCAGAGTAAACCTTTGGGATTAGCAAAGGCTGAAGAATGGCTAATATATTAATTATTCATTATAATTTAGGAAGTTACAACATGTATTACGAGGTTTTTGATCTCTCCTTTCCTCTGTTTAACCCTTTTTCTCTAGTGCTACCTGAGGTTGGGAGATCCACAGCTGGGAGTGGAGACTCTTGGCCTTAGAGAAGGAGTACAGAGGTGCCAAGCCTGGCTGCATCACTGGGAATCCTGCTGGGAATCTTTCAGTAATGCTGGGGAGTTCTCCTAAAGGTACTATTTCTTTGAACTCTTGCTTTTGCTGAACAAAAAATGAACCCCAGAGCGTGGCTTCTTTAGAGAGTTGCAAACCCACACCTTTCTACTCCTCCTGGTGTGATGGAAGAGACCTTAAAACATGATGTGGTTATTGTGTTCTAGGCTCCAAAATAAAAAAGTACATAAGAAGTTTCTTAAACTTCTTATTAATTTTTCAGGATTTTCAAGCCAATTTCAAGCCTTTTTGAGACCTGACAAGTTTTGAGCACTTAGTGTTGGCAATTCCTTGAGCCCCTTAAGCCAAGCTTGTGGGAAATCTGATTTTTATTGAACTTTTTTTGAAAATTCATCCTTCCTTACTGCTCTGAGCATTATAGAAACACCACATGAGAAAGAGTGAGGGCTTTAAAGCCTGTACCATCTAAAATGATTGTCACAGAGTAGGAACTCCAGCTGCAGCAGGTTTTATCCTCTCAGACCCCACTCTGCAGCACTTACAGAGGAGCAGAGCCCTGTGTCAGCAGCAGCTCCTTGCACAGCTCAGTGATGCTGCAGGTCTGAGCTTCAGGCTGCCAGGGGGTTCTCAGGGCTCTGCCTGCTCCTCACCTGGGTTTGCAGGCACAGAATCACAGAATGTGCTGAGTTTGAAGGGACCCACAAGGATCATCAAGTCCAACCCTTAACCCTGCACAGGGTCATCCCTGAGAGTCACCCCCTGTGCCTGGAGTGAGAGCAGCAGTGAGCTGGGGGAGCAGAGACCCAGCAGTGCCCTGAGAGTGCCAGCTTTCCAACTGGACTCTGGGGTTATCCCTAAATGCCTACAAATACATCAGAACCCTGCCATTGTCTCAACCAGACTTTGGATCAGGGGCTCTTAAGCAGAAGAACAGCACATCTTCTGTTTGTTCCACACTCCTATAATGCTTTTAAAAGAAAAGAAAGCAAAAAGAAAATCCCCAAACACAAAAGCTGAAACGTGCTGTGAGTTTTGCCCTGACAGCCAGAGGTGGAAGGGATGGTTGGCCAGGATTAGAGTCCCAGGCTTTGAAATCTCCTCCTGTGAGTTATGGCTGCGTGTCAGGAGCAGTAAGCAAAGCAAAAGGCAGTAGCTGGGCCGGTGTTCTGCTCAATTGCCTGGGGCCCCAACTGAAATTTAATAAGCAAATGTAAGATTTTAGTGCTTTGGAATGGAAACTTTATGGCAACTTCTTTCTGCAGCCCCTGTTGCAGTGATGTATTGCATGTCTGGGTTGTGCATTGCACCTGAGTGCTGAATCCAGCTCTGCTGTTGTGCTCTCAGTCCTGCCTGGGAATTCCTCTCCCAGGCTGGAGCCAGGGGAATCTTCAGGTCCCAGAGCAAACTGGTGTTGAATACAGTTATGGCTGGCATGTCTTCACTGCAGCTCCTTGCACACTTAGGATGACAATCCTAATGGCTGTGCCAGGTGGGGGAATCTCTGCTGGGGATGTTTTGAAATCCTGTGTTAACCAAATCATGTTCAGGGATTGCATATGGAGAGTAGATCCTGGCATGGAGGATGAGAAAAAAGGGGCATGACTTGTTCCAGTGTTGTTTGTCTTTATTCTTTGGGTCATTCTTCAGATTTCAAAATACAGAGGTCTTCTATGGGATTCTCTGATTTATTTTTTTTTTTAAAGACACAGATTCATTTATTGCTCAAAGAGTGTCCTGTCAGAGCTTATTTGACTCAGTAGTGAGGATGCAGAACCCTCTCATGGGAAATGAGGAAAAAACTCCTCATTTTAAATCCCCAGTGCCTCTGTTTCTGCATGAGAGCAGGTGAGGAGTGTGTGCTCTGCTCTGTGACCAGCTTCTGTTTGTTATTTTACAGTTTCTTCATTATGATGGTTCACAAAGACTTGTTGTCAGCTGTTCCTCATCTCTCCCCAAGCATGGAAATCTAGTCTTGAGGGTTGTGTGTAGAATCAGATCATATCAGGAGCTGTTGTCAGGAATGCACTGAGATGGCAAAGGGAGCTTTACCCTTTTCCCAGCTCTCTGCCACTGGTCCCAGCTCACTGGGATAGGGCCCACGTGGAGGCTCTGACTGTGCATGTACAGCCACTGAGGGCAGAAATGACAGGAACTTTTTTAAAAAACATGCCTCTGTTTCAGCCAAGTCTCTCAAGTTCAGTCCCTGCGAGGTCCCCGTTCCCTCCTCCTGCCTCCTCACGCGTGTGTTTATTCCTGTTTGCTCCTTTCTTTCTCGCAGATGGCAGAGAAATCTTGTCAGTGCTTTTCTGGCTTTGCAGCCTTTTCTCAATCATCTCTCCTTTTGTATCTCCAGCGATGTGCAAATCTGATGCTTTGCTATTTCTGTGTTTCTTTTCTGTGCCGTCTCATTGTCTCAGTCCTGTGCTTTTTGCTGGGTGAAAGGAGCGACAAATTTCCAGTAGGCAGAAAATAAACCATCCCCAGCTCATGAAAAGAATGACCCTTTTTAAGCACTGCTATAAAATGTAATGGTTTTTGATGTGAGTTCCTTCTCTAGGTTGGAAGACTGACCAATAGGTCCCTGAGAAGCATCTTTTGATCTGTCTCTCGGATCAATTGGAATTTTATTGCACATGAGGAGAACAATACTGCATGAGCCCTTGAAGGGGAGCGAACACAGATGACATTTTTATTCATTCTCAGCCAGATTGCTTGGTATTGTGTCCCTTCTGTGCAAAATGACACTCTGGCAACAGGCCACTGACTGCAAAGCATCTTGGCATGGGCCTCCTGTTTGTCTCAGGCTGAGCATCACCAGAGATGCCAGACTGTTGGCCACGAGCTGAGGGTGATACAGCCCCGCCTGTACCAGCCCCTCGCTGCCATTTCTGGTGCACAATGCCTGAGGGAGGCAGGATGGGTCCTGACTGTTCAGATCTCTGCTGGTTGGCTCTCCCCTTGGGAGAAGCACCAGCTCTCCTGGCTGGCAGTGCATTCTTGGGGCAGTCCTGCCAACCCTAAACAAATTAGTCTTTGGGGCTTCTGATCCTGTGTTTCCCTCTCCTTTTTCTTTGCTTATGTATTAAGAGAAATTTTTGAAAGCCTTGAAGTGACCAGGAAGACAAATCTGTTTGACTTCCAGTTCCATCTGAGCCACCCTAGTTACTGCAGCTTGCACTGACAGAGCCAACACTTCACAGAGCCAACACCTCACAGATTGCCCTTGGATTTTCCAGAGGGCAGTGCCTCAGTGTGGCTGGGCCTGGGAGCTGTCAGGAGAGGGCTGGATGTGCTGCACAGGTACCACTGAGCTGTGGGCTGTGTTGTAGCAGGACTGTTGGCCATCAAAGCCAGGTGTAATAATGAGGCATTTCCACAATTATCCAGTAATTCATATCATAAATCATATTTTCAAAGTCCCTGTTGGGTCTTTCTGCCTTCTAAGACAGTTATTGAAATGGAGAAAGTGGAGGAAGATTGTCTTCTTCCAAGCACAACATTTTACCTCACCTGGAGGTTTTCCTGCTCCAGGTGACCCTGCCCTGGCTGATCTCCAGAGGTCCCTTCCAACCCCAGCTATTCTGTGAATCTGTGAACTGTTATTTCGTAGGATGCCCAGATATTTCATATAAATATTTTTTTTCCATCCAAGTAGGAGTGTGGTGAGATGTACAACAGCCACCACTGTGCACTTGGAGACACTGGCCTGAAAACCTGGCTGTGAATTCCTGTCCTGCCTGCTGGAGCCAGGCTCCCTCTGTGCCTGCTGCTGTGGAGTGGGTATCTCCCAACTAAAGAGTTGCATTTTCCTGAAAGAAGGACAGCAGCTTTGCCATCAGCTCTGATGCAGGGTGACATGGACTGTAGGACCTGTCATCACTCATGAAGTCAGTTCTGTTTCAATGTTAATAAGTCCTTAATCAAGTCATTTGTTTCATCCAGGATGTCACGTTTAGCAGTGAATTGTCACATGCTTGAAAACTGGAACCATAGGAGAACTATTTAATGCTAAGTGGTATCTGCATCATATCTGAAGCTGGAACATGCCAGGAAAACATCCTTTACATTCTGCAACTGATATTTCCGAGCTTTCAGGATCAATCATGGCTTGGCTGGGTAGGTGTGCTATTTCCCTCTGTTTATGTGTGGCATAATATTCTATTCTATATTTGGTAACTCATTCTCACAGTGCTTATCTGTTACCTATTTTCTATGGCTGTTTCTTTTGCTTTTTAAAATAATACTGTGCAGCACTGAATGAATATCTTGAAACCAAGATTGACACTGTAAGTCCAGCAGAAAATAACTGACATTTAAAACTAGTACTCCTCATTCTAGTCTGTTTGTGATATGTAGGGGAAAAGGAGAGGTTTGAGCCAAGCAGCTGCTGGTGGCATTAAGTGGGAAACGGTGCAGAGAGACCAGGTTTATGATCATCATCTCCTGTTCTTGGTGTTGTCTTCAAGAGGAACAGAGCTAAGGGCTAAAACTGTATTTTTAATATCTAGTTCCTGTAAGTCTTTTCCACTTGAAAAGAAGCAAAGGAAGTCATAGTGAACTGATGGCAAACGTCATCCCAATGCATTTTCCTCCTTTATTTAAATTCCATTTGTTGTTGTGCCATGTTTTCTCACAAGCTTGTTTCTGTCTGCAAACAGGTCCATCCCTCCTGTCAGCAGGAATGACAAACACACCTGTACAGGCACCAGGTGCTGCTGTACAGCAGTGCCATTATGTACAACATTGCTGCAGAGTGAGACATTGAAAAGTCTTTTTTTGCCTTAGGGAACCCTTTGTATTTATATTTTAACTCTGCCTCACTGTTGTGTCCCTGTGAGCCAGACCCCTTGTGGCAGGTTCGGGAAGACACAGAAGGAGTTCTGGGCACATCTGTGGGAAAAAACATTTTGGTTTGGGATTTTCTCCAGTTTCTGTCAGTAAATGGTGTAAAAAAGGAATTATAAAATACTAGTTTAGTTTTTATTTTGTGTTTCCATAGTCCTTCCCAGTTCCAACCAGTTGATCAGAAATAGTAAGTATTATAAAGATCCAT